AGTCACAAAGTCATTGATCCACCTTCAGATCCTCAGTCCAGGGGGGAGCCTGGCACTGCCAGGTCCAGACTGGATGTCACCAGCCCTCCTCCTCCTCCTCCTCCTCCTGCTGCTCCCAGAGCCTGTTGCTTCCTGAAGCAGTGGCAGCAGCCAGGGCACAGGAGGCAGCACCGGGAGCTGCCTGCAAATGGAAAAGAGCTCTGTGTGTGATGCTGAGGCCTCTGGGAGCAGCAAAGGAAGGGAAATGGTTCTCCCCACGGGATGGCTGAGCTTGGCTCTCCGAGCTGCTTTGCTTTTCCACAGGGTCACAGCAGCGTTGCAACAGAGAATTAGGCCCAGACACTTCATTTAGCACAACGTGTTCATGGCAGTTTTTTCTTGGAAACAATCCATAATGTCTTGTAGATTTAATAACTTCATATATTTTATAAATTACAATCTATTTATAATTTTAATATATTTTAATATTTTATAATTCAATAAGCTACAATTGTAAAAGTAATGTTTCTCTTACATAAATAAGGATCTAGCAAGGTATCTAAGCGACCATATCCTTGAGGAGAATTTGCTGTCCCCTGTCCTCCCTGGAAACCAGAGCCTCCCTGACACCTTCTCTTTGCAAACAGCAGCAACAAAGCCCTGAGTTAAGGATCTGAGCTTTCCACTGGCCTCTGCTCCAAAAATCCATTATTTTCTGAGCAGCAGATAAGCAGGAGCTCTGGCTGCTTTCCCGAGCCTGACTTCACCAACAAATTAATTGCTTGTACCACGTCCATTACAGTTGTCCAGGCTGACCTCTGCCTGCATGGCAGCCTCTGCCACATCACCAATATTTGAAGGATTGTTTTATTCCTCCTTCCTGCTGGTCCATCACTGCTTGGGCTGCTTGCACTGGCTGGCTGTGACAGGATTCTGTGTCTGCTCTGCCAGCTGCCCAGATAAAGGCAATGTTTAATTCCACAGCAGCTCTGACAGTAGATCCTCCTGTGATGGGGATCACACCACACCCTGAAGGGTGCCAGCAATGAGCCCCTTCCTTTCTGACAGTCTTTGCTTATCCAGTAGAAATTTGGCTGAGTCTTATTTGACAGGCAAGTTAAGAAATGGTTTTGAATATTCTCTCGGATGTGTCTAACCAGTGTTTACTTGTAAACAAATTCTCTTGCCAAAAAAATCAGACTTGGGTTGGGTTTGTTTGTTGGGTTTGGTTTATTTTTCTGGGGAATTTTTGGTTTGTTCTGTGTTTTGGGGGTTTTTCTTTTTGGTGAAGCAAATCTCCCCAGCACTGCAAAGCCTCAGGCAATGGGAGGGTGGAGAGACACAGGTGGGATTTTGGTTCTGGGTGCCTGGGCCTACCTGGAGGGGTACCAGTGCATCAGACCCCAGCGCTGAGCTCCCTGGCCTGGCATTGTCAGGGTGAGAAAAGCAGAATTGCTTCACTCTTACCCCAGGGGTCTCAGCCTGTGCAGGGCTGAGGACAGAGCTGCCAGGGTTGAAGGTACAGAAGGTGTTCAGGGTCTGGGAGCTCAGAGTTGTGCTGGGAGCTGGGCTGGGAACACCAGTGACTCACAGTGAAGTGAAACACAGACTCACATTGCAATGGTTTCCCCCGTTTCCATTTCCTCCTGTCCCATTAAAGTGCTGCTTTCCTGCACCAGCATCCCCTCCTGAGCCCTTCAGGATTCCCTGCAGGGATTGAGCCTACAGGGGAACACTCATGGCTCTGAGAGGGGGAATGCCATGACTCAGTTCTCCCCAGGAACTGCTGGTTGAGTGCTGAGTGTGGCTGTGAGTGTGGCTCTGAGTGCAGGATGCTCTGAGTGCTGGATGCTCTGAGTGTGGAATGCTCTGAGAGCTGGATGCTGAGTGCTGGATGCTCTGAGTGTGGCTCTGAGTGTGGAATGCTGAGTGTGCCTCTGAGTGCTGGATGCTCTGAATGCTGGATGCTGAGTGCTGGATGCTCTGAGTGCGGGATGCTCTGAGTGTGGAATGCTCTGAGTGCTGAATGCTGAGTGCTGGATGCTCTGAGTGCTGGATGCTCTGAGTGTGGCTCTGAGTGTGGAATGCTGAGTGTGGAATGCTCTGAGTGTGGAATGCTCTGAGTGCTGGATGCTCTGAGTGCTGGATGCTGAGTGAGCCTCTCGAGGGGGGCTGGGAGGGAGGGGAGGGATCCTTTAGGTGCAGTGGGACAGGGGATGTTGCTCAGCACAGGTGTGACACACTCTCTGCCGGGTTTAGTCAGTGCTGCCTCACCCCAGGTGTTCAGCCAGCCCAAGGAAATCACAGGATGACAGAATCTTTGGTTGGAAAAGACCTTTCACATCACCGAGGCTGATCTTTCTCCCAAGGAAAACACAGCAGAGAGAGATGCACAGGCTGTTATTATATTTAGTTTCCCCTCTGAGAGGGCCAGATTGGGTGTAGGTCGCTCAGAGCAGAGGGGATGGGGCTCAGGTACAACGAGAAGGAGAGTACTGCCAATTTGAAGAGTTCAGCTTCAAAGGCAGGAAACTGAAAACTGATAAACAGGGTTTCCAGGAGATGTGCAGTGGTCCTTGTTAGCACAGCAGCCAAGTACTTGGAAAAAGTGGGAGAGGGACTGGGCACTTCTATGGATACCAGAGTAGTGATTACTGTATCAATTTTTGTAATGTAATCAGAATAATCTTTGATGCTTCAGGGCTTAAACCAATAAAATCAGGAAGAGAATAAAGATATCTGCATACTGTAAAACCCTGTCCTTTTCTTCTGGTACATCTGCTGCTAATCCAAGGTGAGCCACAGGGCTGGGCTGGGCCCTGGGGCTGCCTGGATCAGCTGTGGCAGGCCCTGTGCTCCTCAGGGAACCTGGAGGGGAATCTGGACACTCATTCCTTAGGTAAACCAGGGTGTGAGGAGAGGAGGATGAAGTGGAGAGCAGATGGGTTTTCTGTGACTTTGATTGAGAGGTTTATGTGATTATATGTGAATAACTGCAGGTCTGCCCAAAGGGAAAAAAACAGTGCAAACCAGGAAACTTTCAAATTCGTGAGGTGGCTTCCAGCAAAACAATGGGATTTATTAGAAGTGATTTATCTCCACATCTTCCTGAACTGGAGCACTTGAGGAAAACTTGAGGCTCCAATTGCAAGAGTCGGAATCTTTAATAATAATAATAATAATAATAATAATAATAATAATAATAATAATATAAATCAGAGGCAAGGTTCTGACTGAGGAGTTTTAAGTGGGCAAGAGGTAAATCAGCACTAAAGAGCTCTCCCTGAGTGGAGATGGAAAAGGGGATGGAGATGGTGGTGACCAGGAGGAACTGGGAAGGAAATCCCACTGTGCAGGGCTGAAGCGATGTGAGGAGTTGGGATGTGTGTGCAGGGGATGGGGATGGGGGCTGCTTCAGCTCCACCCCGCTGGCAGAGACTGGGAAGGGGTGGGAGTCTGGCAGCACCATGGGAAATCCCTGAGGAACTGGGTGCTCCTTCAGGTGCCTTCCAACCCCACCCATTCTGGGGCTGGCAGTGTAGGAGTCACTCTTCTAAGATGTGTGGGTGATCTGAGGGAGGTGAGGCCCTGGCACAGGTGCCCAGAGCAGCTGGGGCTGCCCCTGGATCTCTGGAAGTGCCCGAGGCCAGGCTGGACAGGGCTGGGACAGTGGAAGGTGTCCCTGCCATGGCAGGGGTGGGATGAAACAATCATTAAGGTCCCTCCCAGTGCAAACCTGTGACTGGGCAGGTTCCTACACACGGGTTCTGCTGGTCCAGAGTGTGTTGGAGGCCAGGTGATGACAGCAGCTACACCTGGTCTGGTATTTATGAAGGAGGAATTAAAGGTTGTCTCCAAAAAATGTGCTTGGTCTGGTGGGAACATCTTAGAGAGCATTCTGCATTAGCTGGAATTGGAAATGTGCCAGGGCATGGATTTGCAGGTCAGGAAGGAATGGCAACAGGTGCTGTCCCTTTGGGTGTCAGAGCTCTGGAGTGAAGGGAACAAAACCAGCATGTTCCAGCATCCTCGAGATCTGGGTGTGCAGAAGAAAAATGGGTCTGGAGATCTTAAAATAGAACGAGCTCAGCTGCATTACTTCGGGTTTGGGAGTACGGGGTTACATCCAAACTCCTCCTCCTCCTCCTCACCGCTGCATTGGTACCCACCTCGGCGGGCGGAGGACCTCGTTCCCATGGCACAACCCGGAGGGATGCTTTGGATGCCCCGGGCTGGCCGGCTGCTCCCGCTGTCCCCGGCTGTCCCCGGCGGCACTGCCGGGCCCCGCGAGCGGGAGAGCCCGCGGCGCTCCGCTCCGCGCCGGGAGAGCCAGGCGGAGGCGGAGGATGCTGTGCCGCTGCTGCTCCGGCGGGGCTGAGCGAGCATCCCCCGCGCAGCGCCTTTGGCGGGCGCTCCCGAGCCGCGCTCCCGAGCCCGGCTCCGGCTGCGGGGGCAGGGAGCGGGAGCGGGAGCGGGGCCGCCGCGGTGCCCCCGCTTCCCCGGTCCGCAGCGCCGCGGCTCCGGCTACACCGGCAAGCCGCCAGCCCCGGCAGGGCGGGCAGGGGCCGGGCCCCGGCTCCGTGCCGTGCCCACGCTGTGCCCGTGCCCAGCTCCGTGCCCGGCTCCAGGCCGTGCCCGGCTCCGTGCCCGTGCCTGGCTCCAGGCCGTGCCCAGCTCCGTGCCCGTGCCCGGCTCCATGCCCGTGCCCAGCTCCATGCCATGCCCGGCTCATGCCCGTGCCCGGCTCATGCCCGTTCCCAGCCGCATGCCCGTGCCCGGCCCCACGCCGTGTCCAGTCCCATGCCCGTGCCCACCCCATGCCCATGCCCAGCCCCACGCCGTTCCCAGCCCCAGCCGTTTAAAGCGGCAGCGGCGCGGGGCGCTCCCCAGTGCCGGAGCCGGAGCGCGGCGGGCAGGGCAGGGCAGGGCAGGGCAGGGCGGGCGGCAGCGGCCGAACCCGCAGCCCTCCCCCGGCCATCCCGTCCCGGCCGGCCCGGCCCCCGGGGAGCGCGGGGCAGCGCCCGGGGGCGGCGGCGGCATCACCACCATGGGCCGGCCGGGCAGGGTGCTGCGGCTGCTGGCGCTGCTGGAGCTGCCCTGCTGCCTGCTGGAGCTGCTGCTCGGCGAGGCGGCCCGCGGGCAGGAGATGTACGCGCCCCACTCCATCCGCCTGGAGGGGGACATCACCCTGGGCGGCCTCTTCCCCGTGCACGCCAAGGGTCCCCCGGGCTCCCCCTGCGGGGACATCAAGAAGGAGAACGGCATCCACAGGCTGGAGGCGATGCTCTACGCCCTGGACCAGATCAACAGCGACCCGGACCTGCTGCCCAACGTCACGCTGGGCGCCCGCATCCTGGACACCTGCTCCCGGGACACCTACGCGCTGGAGCAGTCCCTCACCTTCGTCCAGGCGCTCATCCAGAAGGACACCTCCGACGTGAGGTGCACCAACGGCGAGCCGCCCGTCTTCGTCAAGCCGGAGAAAGTAGTTGGAGTGATCGGGGCATCGGGAAGTTCCGTGTCCATTATGGTGGCCAACATCCTCCGGCTGTTCCAGGTAGGGCCGTGCCGCGGGGCTCCGCCGCTCCCGGCTCCCCTTGTGCCTCTCCAGGTGCTCCATCCGCCTCCCTCTCCGGAGCAGCTGCTTCCCCTCCCCGCCGCCCTCTCCCTTCTCCACGGTGCGTGGCGCTTTCTGGATTTATCGCCCCATTTGCACGAAGCAATGATGCTTGAGGGAGAGGAGAGAGAAAAAAAAAAAAAAAAAAAAAAAAAAAAAAAGGAAGAGCAGAGGCGCTGGCTGCGCTGGGTTTGCGTTAGAGAGAGCCGTGGCTCGGCGGGGATGGATGCGGGCGCACGGCATCCCAGCGGGGCACGGCCGGCACCGCTCCGCGCACGGAATGCCGGCGGTGCGGACACGGCTGGCGGGGCCGCGGCCCGGGGGTCGCGGGGGGGTCGGGACAGGGCCGGGAGAGGGTCAGGAGGGGCTTTCTCCGGCTGAGCCGGGGCTGTGCGGGGCAGCCCCAGCACCCAGCGCTGCCCGGCTCGGGTCCCGGCTCCCTCCTCGGCCCGAGCGGGGGCAGCGGGGGCGGCTCAGCCCGGGAGTGCCGCCCCAGGCTCCGCGGCTCCGGGAGGAGCGAGGGATGAGCGGAGCCGGCGGATTAGAGCCGTGTGTGTGTGTGTGTGAGTGAGCGTGTGCGGGGGAGATGCGCTGCAGCGCTGCCCGTTCTCCCCCTCCTCGCCTCTCCCCCGTTCGCGCTGCGATCGCGCCCGTCTCGCCCCCGGCGCCGCGCCTCGGTGGGTGTCGGGCCACGGAGACTTGTCACCCCCTCATGCTCCTGCCCCAGGGCCGTGCGAGGCCGTCTGTCCGCCTCTGGCCAGGGCTGGATCCCCCGGGATGAGGGGGTGTCCCCCCGGGATGAGGGGGTGTCCCTCCGGGGGTTGGGATGACCCCGGGATGAGGGGGTGTCCCCCCGGGGGTTGGGATGACCCCGGGATGAGGGGGTGTCCCCCCGGGATGAGGGGGTGCCCCTCCGGGCCTGGGGTGTTCCCCCGGGGGCCGGGATGTCCCCCCGGGGCTGGGGTGTCCCCCCGGGGTGCCGCTGCAGCCGCCGGGCCCCGCAGCGAGCGCCGGGTGCTCCTCGGCAGCGCTCGCGGGTGCGGTGACAGCGACAGAAGCGCCACCAGATGCATCGTGAGCAGCGGAGTTCTTCGCTCCCTGTCCTACGCCTTCGCATGCGGAAGGTGGTGGAGGGATTTTTTTTTTTTTTTTTTTTTTTATTTTTGTGCAGCGGGCGGAGAGATCCCCCGCTTTTCCCAGCTGGAAACTTGGAGGCTCTCACGGCAAATCCTTGCTCGGTGCTGTCGCAGCCGCCGAGCCTCCCCATTGCCATCTGGCCGCCGGTGCCACCTCCGGCCGAGGCCAGCGGGGCGATGCCCGCTGCCCCTCGCCGTGCCCGGCCGGGCAGTGCCCTGCCCATTCCCTGGCACGCCAGCGAGCCGCTTCTTTGCCGTGCTCGCCTCTCCTCCCGGCCAATGAAGCGCACGGCTGCCGGATCCAGCGCTGTGCCCGTCTCCCCCTCTGTGCCCTCCCGTGCCCGGGCTGCGGACCCGGCCGCTGCCGTTCTCCCGAGCCCCGCAGCCGCAGAGCCGTGCTCGAGTTGTGCTCGAGGTCGGGCTCGGCAGCAGCCAGGAGGGTGGAGGGGGCAGCTCTTCCACTCCAGTTCCCATCCCACAGCCGGTCCGGGGCAGTCCCCGCCGAGATCCGGTTCAGAAGGGAAACTGAGGCACCAGGCGCCTTTAGGGTAATGCCACAATGCCTGCAAAGCCTCTGGTGATGCATTACGTGGTGGAGTTTGCAGAAAATAAGATATTTGGGCAGTTTCTCCGTGTAGAGATATTTATATAAACAAAATACTTTAATGTATTGTGACTAAGCATCTGTTCAAAGTTGCAATTTAACCAAATCATCCAGAAAGCAGGAACTGGCCCATACTGAGGGATTTTACTGAATATCTATTTTACAGCTTGGATGAGCCGCCTTGAAGCAGATCTTCTGTGCTGTAAAACTGTTCCCTGTTGTCCTCTCCTTCTTCAAAACACAATTTAGAACATGCTCAGCCAAAGAGAAATAGAAAATAACTATTTTAGGAGGAGAAGTGGACCTGTTCAACAGCTAAGTGTCATTGTGTGTGGGTGGATGAGAAGCTCCAAGTTAGTGGAAAGAAGAAAACCAAGTACCAATCACAAAAAATCTTGTTAACCTCAGAACTCTCTGAAATTCCTGAGTGTGGCAGCCAGCTTCTTTCTCAGGGGTCACTGTGGGTTTTGCTGCCTGGGGCAGTGGGTGAGGGGTGGGTGGATGGCTCTTGAACGCTTACCTGCATGCCCAGACTGGCTTTTCCCCCACATCTGGCAGGTAAAAGCTCTGTGGAGGCCCCTGCAAAGAAATCTTAATGGAGTTTCTGCTTCTCTGACAATATCTCGGAAGAGAAGTATTTCTGCTGTGCCTTAACGTAGGGAGCAAATGGGTGTAAATCTCTATATATAGATATACATAACCCATCCAGAGCACAGCAGGGCTTCCTCAGGCAGCTCCTGGCGCTTCAGGCGCTTCCTCCCCAGGAGGGGCCGGCTCCATGCAGGCTGTTCATCTTCCTCTCTGCATGGGAGGCTGTGTTATCTGTGCCTGCACTGCATCCTCAGCTGCAGCCAACAGGTGCAGCAGCAGGGAGAGCAGCGCCGGGCTCCTCGGGCTGCAGTTCGTCCCTGCAATTGCTGCTGCAAGCTTTGTGGGAGCTTTCCTGGGGTGAAAAATGATGGGGAGCTCCATGACTCTTGGGGGTTTGCTGTGTGAGCAGAGTCCCTCCCCTGCCTTTGTTTCCCTCCCCTCACTCATCCCTGAGCTGCTCCTTGGATAAAAGAGCCTGGGAACAGCTGGGGTGGGAGGGTTCCTCCAGGAGCCTGGGGTAGCTGTAACCCTGCCTCTCCCTTTGTCCAGCTGAAGGCTTGGTGCTGATGGAGCCAGGCTGAGACCTGGGGCTGCTCACTGCTCCTGGCTCCCACAGGCTGCGAGGGTGGGCACAGGAATTGCCAGTGGGGCAGGATGCCTCATCAGGCCCCTCCAGGAGCACTGCAGAATGAGCTGAGGAGGGCTGGGAGGGCCCTGTGAGGCAAGCTCAGGGTCTGAGGGAGGGGAGGCTGCACCCCTGGGTTCAGTCTGCCCCTGCCCAGGGCTCGGTGGGACCTGCTGGAGGTCCTTGGGTTAAAATGATGGCTGAGGAGTGCCAGCAGAGGCTGGGCAGAGCAGGGCAGAGCCCACCCTGGGCACGGTGTCTGAGTGCAGGGGAGCTCCCCCAGCTTGGCCGTGGCTTCCCCAGGAAGGGCTTGAGGCAGGAGGCGCCTCGGGCTGCGTTCTTTCTTTTCCATCTGTGTTCTTTACCTTCACCCATCCATCAGGAGTGCCCTGGCAGGCGTGGCAGTGCCCCAGCCCTCTGTGAGGGCATCCCTGGGGCTGTGTCTCACCCCAGGGCTGCCCAGGCAGGGGTTGGGCAGCAGGGCAGGTGTGCCCAGCCCAGGTGTGCTCCAGAGGGACCAGCCTGGGCTGCTGGAGTGTGCAGGTGGCCCTGCACCAACACCCAGGTGTGTCGAAGGCAGGGACTCCTTTCCAACACAGTTCTAGCAGTGCACGCCAGCAAACAGCAGCCCGGTCATAAATTAAATATCTCTCCTAAAAATAACACCCAAATAATTTGGGAAGCTGCTTCCAAATGCACAGGGGAGTTCAGGCAAGATGATTTTAGGCTGCTGGTTTTGCTTTGGAGAAAATGCTGTTCCTTTGCAGGGTTTTACCTTTCCTTACAAATGGAGCTCCATGCTAAAACCATGGCTTCATATTTTCTGGGAGTAGAACCATGCAACATGGGGAATATCAGCACCCTGACTTCTCTATTAATGCTGGAAAGCTTATTTTTGTGCTCCCTGCAGACTTCTCATGACAGGCTTTAATAATGAACAAGTGACTGTTCGGGTTTGTGTCCTCGGATGCAATTTGAAAGAGTCAATCAAGAATAATTTCGTTCTTGTCTAAATCCCTGGGGGATGTGATCAGGGGTGGCTCTGGTGGCCCAGAGGGGGCTGTGCCTCAGCCCCTCCAGGGAACTTTGCAGCAAAGGGGGCTCAGGCAGTGCAGGGAGATTGGGAGTGCAAATTGGAACATCCCTGATCTCCCTGGGGGTGTTGGCTGCCTTTCCTTCCTGCCGAAGGAGGAAGATGACAGTTGCAGTCCTGCCTTCTGCTCCAGACACAGTAATCACAAAAATGAGATTATTTGGAAAGGAAGGGAGCTTAAAAGTGCAGCTCTGAGTTGGATGCTGCTCTTTTCTTGAAAAATGCACAAGGTTTTGCCAGGCTCTCTGGGGGAGGCTGTCGGGCTGGGATTGCTGGGGATGGGATTGGGATGGGGATGGGATGGGATGGGGCTGGGGTTCAGCTGCTGCAGGGAGTGAGGGGAGCTCTGGAGCCTAGTGCTCCTCGGGCACAGGGAGGAAGGGCAGGGCAGTGTGAGAATGTACAGAGCCATGGTTCCATCAGATCCCTTGGAAGTGTCTGCTTTCTGACGGGTTCCACACTGCCCATCTGATCAGTTTCTAGGAGCTCCTTGTAATTCCCAGGAAAATGTCTGCAGACTGGTTGTTCCTCCCTCACTCAGTTCAAGTTTCTTGCAGGAATGTGGGCTTTGGGCCCATTCCATGGGATGTAATTTCCATTCCCAATCCATTTTTTGAGCCCCTCCTGCTGACCTTGAGATGCTGGGGAGGTTTAATTGCTGGGATGTACGTGGGCTCTCACTGGGGCTTGGGAAGAAAACTCCCACATTTCAGCAGTGTTCTTCTCTGGATGCTCATTTATTGTGAATTCCTGCCCTGATTGTTGCGTTTTCCTCTCCTCACTTCCAACAGGACAATACTTTTTAGGCAATGGAGTAATGGTTCATTTTAGAGAAGATATTTCAGGAAACTCCACATTTTTCAGTTTCTCACATAAAGAATGCAACAAAAA